CATATCCTTTGATGCCCTCTGGTGTGTTCCGCTCCTCTATCGCCCTAGCTCTCACGCTCAGGTCAGCGAGCGGAATCGAATGCGGCGGCGTGTGAAGAACACGCGTGTTACATTCACGATTCAGAGGTGCCGTGGAATGCCGATGTTCTGAAGGTGCTTTTCCACACAGTTCCACAAATTAAATACTTACAGCCCTTAACTTTCCTTGAAAAGAAGAGATAAGGCAAACAAATCGAGTGTTTGCAAGTGATTTGTAGAAACATCTTAATATAGAGCAGGGGCAATTGGTAGTTCCCGCGTGCCTCTTGTCAGTCACTGTAATCAATATATCCCGCTGTCTCCAAAATAGCTTGTGCTGGTCTTCATAGTGGTTCACGGGGTCCTCGCCGGATCTACTGAGGTCGGTGATCGCATCTTTCTTTTGTGTTTCTTTGTTCGGATGATTGTTCAATCCGTTTGTTTCTTGCGATTTCGACTGCATCTTGGACCCTTTTGGACACTTCAATTATGACGCCAGCCAAACGCGATGCGGACAACGGGGGACCACCAATGGGACGAACCTTTTGGGACGGTTTGTAAGGGATTCGAGGTGCGAAAGAAATCCATGGATTGGATGCCCAACAAGAAGAGACCTAAGAAGCATTGTGAAACGCGCGAATTTTGGCCCTTGTGACTGCTAAAAGGTCCGAGTCTCACTTGGCGATGTTGGTGCTGTGGACATCATGTTGAATTTGGATGCCAATGTGCTATGGAGATGTTGTGAGGTTCCTGGGATGGGGATTGGGTGGAGTTGCATATCTTATGCGAAGCGTGTGAAGTGGAAGGACTAGAGGTAGGTGGTCATTCCATGGGGCCTTGAATTCGCCACTGCTGAGGGAGATCATAGGACTCACCATTCACATTCCTTTACAAAACGTTCACGGATGGGGGAGATCATAGACGAGATACTCGCGAGTCTTATTGGTTTTCACCGCAAGATGTGTCCGAAATCACCCCCGGCATTGAAATTTTGAGAGCCTTCATATGGTGGGCAACAGACCCGCTTGAAGGCTGGACACGGTGTGCAAGCTTAGTGGATGGGCGATCAGTGGACGGCTCAAGAATTGGTGCGCAAGGAGTTTGCAGCTTCTGTTCTCAGATGTTCTCAGACTGCTAGCCCCTAGCTGATGTAGACAGTTGAGTTATCAACTCTCTACCTACTAGATGGTGATGGATCTCCATTTGAGGGGTCTCTTATTCAGTGCCGTGGGCCATCGTCAGTGCCAGCAACGCATGGATCACCTCTCTTCCCCCAAAACATTCAACGGTTTTTTGGGTGCCCCGAGGAGAGACGAGAACGGTTGAGATCCGAATCCCAAGCACTCCGCCTGGTTTTGCTTAAGGCCATTGCTTAATCCATTCCCGATGGTTCAATCATGTTCAATCCCCTTCTGTTGCATGTGTTTTCTGTATCTTTCCCGGTTCCTTAAGGCAAGTCCAAGTCCATTGATTGGCATATGTATCATTGACACCAGGTCAACACCAGGTCAATCGACCACACGTGGAAAGCAGAAGACGTCTCAGACGGCGTTTTCGTCCCCAATCATGTTGGGTGGGACACACATCGCATGCAAGATCTGTGGCTAAAATGGGCTGAGTGTTTCCCGGACAACTGTTTGAAGTGTCAATGAACCATCTTTTCGTACATCGCACGACGGTCATCACGAAAAGACGTACTTGAGCCCTGTTCGAATTCAGCGGTCTAGAGGCCACTGTAGATCTGCCACATGAAGTGGCTCTGTCAAGGGCACCCTGAGGAAGAGATGGAGGGATTGAGCAGCCGACCTCAAAAGCTCAACTGTCGGTGGTTTGAACATGGTTTGAACTCCTGGAGCCATTCCTAAGTGGTGGCGGTGTGTGTGTGTGTGTGTGTTTTTGGCTGTTTGCATGTGTTTGCCAGAAATGGTTGATCGATATTGAGCCCAGGGTTCTGAAAGGGTATAAATACTTTGATATAATTTGTATACATTGTCCATCACTGTTGGGGAAAAGTGATGTTATTGACTCTTCTGAGATGTTCGGTCACCCATCCCAGAGACTCCATAAATATACTGTATGACATAATATGCTCAAAGAGACGAACCCTTGTTGTTGGTCATTTCGGGGAGTGTCCCATGATCAGAGTGAATGACTCTGGAGTGTATCCGATGTGGGGAGCTGTCGTTGCGATGCATCGAAATTAAGAGGCCCCTCACTTGACCCCTGAGAAGAGGGACCATACACACTGGGGTCTCCCTATTCTGATCCATCTTTGCTGGTAACAACCATAGACGAAGACAGCTAGGACCCGCTATTCCCAAGTCATTCGGCAGTTCTTAAAACGCTCCTCGTACTTGGCCTTTCAACCAGCGCCGGCCCCTAAGCAGAGGAAACTGTCCATGGTCGTATAGGAATCCAATGACTTTCAAACATAGAGTTGCCCCCCAAAAAAAGAACGAAACATCTCCCCAACCAATGGGGTTTGTGGCTTTGCGACTTGACGAAAGCCCGTATTGGGCATCACTGGGGCTCCCCACATTCGCACCCTCCCAGAGGGTCGAACTGGGATGTCTCCCTCTTCTAATACACACCCATATGATATGGCTGTGGATCAAAACTAGGATACCTTGGTCCTATCTGGGAGGTTGGTCCATAATGAGTGCTATATCTCCTTTTTTGGCCGCGACACGAAACAACGGCGACCTTTTTGTACGTTCCAATCCTTCCATTCCTATGGACGTCCGTATACCTGACCCTCCAGTGCATACCGCATGACCCGATCAAAAACATGGTACTTGTACCCATTTCCTGAGGTACGAACTGAGACTCCAGATTTGGGGGGTGATCAAGACGTTTGACGTCCATGGCTTTGAAAAAAGCCTAACGATGCGTTTTCCGGTTTCATGACACAGGGTCTAGGGTCAGATGGTAATCATATTGGGCTTCCATAGAGAAAATACAATGAGTTGTTTGCAAACCAAACACCATCAAACACCCTTAGATCTCTCAGAGTGCAACCTGACGACCAGTGCATGTTAGCAGAGGCACCGGACGACCGCGGCTGGGAGTAGGGAGGTAGAGATCAAGTACCAGGTACTTGGCATGTTCATGGATTTGGAGTCTCACAAGGTAGGGACCTTCCAAACCCTAAAGAATTATATTGAACGCACCAAATCTTGTGTAGACTTCGGGTTGACCTTGGGTATGTGATGCGGGTGAAATCAGATGCTTCTCTCCTTGGAAAGCGGTTCACATCAATAATGGCAAGCCACCTGAGAAAAGAGAAGAACGCCCTAATACTTGGCGTGTCGCGTGTTGCAATGTTAGCTTCGGATGCCCAAAGTGTTTTTAGCCCAGATTCGAGATCCAGAAACTCTCCCTCCATCATCTTCACCTATTGGGACTCTATTCATCTTCACCTTCACCCTTGTTGTCCCCAAGGGTCTCATCAGTTTCACGAACGATTCGCAGAACCTCTTCCCCTCTCACGGTCAGAACCTCGTGCTTCCCTAGTCGCTTGGTGCATCGCGGTGCCATGCTGAAGCTTCAGTCGCGCTTCTCTCGGGCGGAACAGAGAGCGTGCGAGCGAGAGGAAGCGTGCAGGCCAAAGTGGAGCAATCTCGTCCTGCTCCAAGACCCCTCTCGCCCAGAAAACTGGCTCTGATGGCTGGCCATGTTGGGTTCGAAGCAAAAAAGCCCAAAACCGAAACCGCAGGGGGTTACGTTGGAGGTCCAAAGAAAACGATCAGTTACGTTGGAGGTGACAGTGAAACGCATGTATTGCAGAGTCTCGGGGGGGATGTCCTTTTGAGAAGTCCTGTCAGTTGTTCAGTTGTTCAAGCAGGTATGGACAACTACTGATGTAACACACATGGCAACTACTGCAACGTAACTTAAGTGGCTATTGCCCATATATGCAACGTCTAAAGTGCCACACACACACATCTGAAGTGGAACCAACGGGAAGACCACTTGGACCCACAGCAGTGCAAGAGGTTTCATCACCACCCCACTAGCGGTTCAGACATGTTGAGTCCATATCCACGCACTTTCGTCACTTCGCCGGTATGAAATGTAGACTTTTGATCTCAGATATGATGTTTATGTTTTATATTGGTATTATACATATATATATTGTATTGTTTTATATTGGTTTATGTTTTATGTTGTATCTTTTGATCTCTCTTGATACATATATTATTGGTATTCCTAGGTCAACTGCTCTCATCAATCTATTTTGACGTGGCCGAGCCTGTTTGAGTCCCCGCCCTGGTTGTACAGACCGAATCCATTGCAAGATGCGCCCCAACACCCTCGCACACCCCCGCAGTGTCCGCGACAACGCGTGAAGCGGTTTGGCAGATCGTTCGTTCAAAAGGGCCGATGGCCAACACAAAGAAGCGGGAGGCACAGGTCTTGGGCTGGAAATTGTACTGGGCTCAATTGTGTTTATTTATCAGTGTTTTCACGGCGATCCGATCAAGCAGGGCTCCACAAAGTATACATGAGTGGTTGTAGATAAGTTTGTTTTCCAGATATTTTTGTTAATTGTGGACACACAGGGTACCTGCATGTCACCTGCATGTTTCTTCCTGTGTTTGTCGTTGTCCCCGGACTTGGTAGACCATGCTGTTGATGCTTGCGTGAATGTTATATGGCATTTTTGCAGTTTGTGTTGTTTAAAGGCAGCTCCCCTTTCAAGGCAAGCTTTGTGAACATGGCACCCATCAATCTCTCCATATATATATATATATATATGGTCATTTACTTTGGAACCACATGTTCTTTTTTTCAAGATGTTCATCTTCAAAAAGATCTTAATGTAGTCGTTTATTTATCTATTTTAACTTCGGTCAGTACAAAAATCCTCTGCAGAATCCTTTTTTCATCCAACAGATGGTCTCCAGAATTGCCCCGGTTTCCTTCCCTTCACATGTGACCCCACTGCTTCGTCCGCTTCACCCGGCTCCGGTGGCTCTCAGGTCTGTGGCCAAGCTCAAGCCGGCCGGGGCTCATGACGGACGCCTTTCGGGTGTTTTGAGGAAAGGAACTTCCTCTATAGGGGCTCGAACTTGGAGAACATGTCGTGCTTGGAGTGTCTCATGAAGAGTCATGAAATTACCAAACGATTCCAGCACCACACTGGTTGGATGGGCAATATACAACCACAATGGTCAACCAGCGGTGAGGCGGGTCAATGCACCCTGGGTGTTGGTAGACATATGCTACATCGTGCTACTGGGAAGGGGGTGGCAGCTGACGATGTTCGCCTCTGAAAAAGAATAGCCAGCGACACACGTGTATGACGGCAGGGTATCTTCAAGTCGACTACATTTGAAAAGAAAACAACAGTGACCAGATTTCCTGCAGCATGGACAAATGAATCAAAACTATGGTCCCTGAGCAATAGAACAATTTGTGGACTGTGGATGCAACATTTCAATGTCGAAATGGCAGGCAACATCTATTGTTCCTCAGAGATTCTTGGGGTCTGATTAGTTTCTTCCACTCAGCCTAACCTCAGGAAATGCTCCGCAACCTTGCGGTTGCGGGGGTCGGGCGATGTAACTAAAAAGGATTGAATATTGGGTCCACCTATACTGTGGGTTCCGAAAAAGATAGAAGATGGGGGACGATGTAGAGTCGAGGAAAGCAACTAGAACTGGGACATATAGTCAAAATGTGTCTCCAAAAGAGGAAAGAAGTCCAAGTTCGTGTTGATATGAGTCGATGGTCTAGCTTTATAGACTCCCTAGGCCCTAGTCATAGATAGAAGCCCTTGTACTCCCCACTTAGAACATGTATTGGACACCAGGACCACGGTACGGACGGAGACCGGACCCGACGGGCTGTGGACTCGATCTTCTGATCTTCAAAGTTTCCCCGTTCTTAGCATGTTCTATCTCAACATTGGTTAGGGATCCATCTCCCAGCCTGGCTGCACTAAATTTGCAGAGCAGCCAGGTGAAGAAGGACCTGAAACATGATCAGCCGGAAGCTTAAGGATCTGGGCGGCTCCAACGACCGCCGCTCCAAAGCACGAATCCTGGGGTCCTCGGTATCTCAGCGTCTTCGAGCAGAGCTGCCGCGCAAAGCTGATGAGTAGCGTGCCGAAAAGCCTGAACGGATCAAAAGTACGAAATCAATACTTCACAATATTTCCCAGGAGGCTAGACACACGGCAAAGCATGGCAAAGCGCAGTTCCTTCTTCATGTATTGTCATAAGGACTTCCAGGCGACTTCCCGTAAGCCAGGTCCAATCTGAAGCGCGAGCTGACGACTTTTTCGGAATCCGCTTCGAAACTAGACGCCCGAAGAGTACGCTTGACATGCCGCCGAGATCCCGGTAGTCCATTCTGTTCGTTTTCACTTGTTTTGTCATATGATAATTCTACCGCGATCATCCTGGTACTTATCCACATAGTACCAAGCACCCAAAGCACGTGTCGAGTGTTCCTTTTTCCTCTCAGAGCAGGTGTCGTCGTCCGAATGCTCGCGTCGTGGAATGCAGGCTTTGCTGCTTCGATGGATGCCCAACTAGACCCCGAAGAACCCAGCCAAAATGCACAAAACTCTGGCGCATCCATGTGGGGGGATATATATGAATATATATATACACTTGGGGCGGCTTCACCGAGGCCTTCCAGAGCAACCGGTCCTTGGCAACCGGGCAACCGTTCTGAGGTTCCCTGGAGTGAAGGACTTTACTCAGGCAGTGGAGCGCGTAATCAACCAGGCGAAAGGGATGCCGTACGGAGCCACGGAGAGGGGAGCCTGGTTGCTGGAGGGTTTGCTGGAGGGGAGGTGGCATCTCATATGTTTCTGAGCTGGGAGCTTAGTTGTATGGCATGAGAGCTTACTTTATTTTAATGCAGACTCATGTACTGTAATGTAATAAAACCATATTAAAACCTCAAGAGTTGTTTCAATTAAAAGGATTCAAAGGGGGGAGTTATGAATCAAGAGTCTACGGTATCGATGCAGTTTCATATCTCATATGAATCTATATGAATCTATGTCGTACTGCTATGTGCTACTTGCGTTTGCTTTCTTTTCCCAACCTGCCCCATTCGCCCAGACCGCTTGGGACAGTTCTTTTGTTCCCAGCCCAGAGGAGTGCAACTATACTACCCAATATAGCCTTCTTAGCCTTCTAAGACCATTGAACAAATTGTTGATCGACTTGATTTTCTAGAGTAAAACCCATCCCAGACACTCCATGGGACTGCCATATATGCCTACATTGACCCCTCAAACCACCCCAAGTGATCGGCATACATGGCAGTCCCATGAGTCGTGTCTGGGCATTGCAAAACGGTTGACGACGAGACCTAGCTGTTGCTGTCGCAGTGACATGACTCGCCGGCGCCGGCGCCGTTGTGGCGTTTGAGACGGTCCAAAGCATGGGTAGCAATCAACAATGATTCAAGTGGCGATAGCAAAAAAACAGAACGGTTACAGTACGTATTCATGCTAAGGTATATAGTGGGGTGTGGGCACAGTTTCTTTATGTTTCACGGTATGTTTTCAGTGCTGCAACTCTGTTCGTATGATATGTTTTTCTGTTCGGTCTGCTCTCATTGGCAGACTCCTCATATTCTCTCCACGAACTCCAAGTCAAACTTTGTGACCAGCAGGTGCTGGTTGAATACCACCCACAGTTCAAATGCATCCGTGTGTTGTGTCAACTCACCCACTGCCTTTTAGCTGCCAAGGATCAGGAAAAAACCCGGCGACATTGACTACGGCAAAGCTGCCACTGAAGCACAAAAGGCTCTTCGAGGCACGGATCAACATATATGGGTGTGGTATTTCAATAGCGTGACCACCAACCAATGGTTTTGGGTCTATTTCCCCAACCTTCCAGGGGTCGGAAACGCCAGGTCTCCTCGGTCGACACTTCAATGCACCACCCTTGGGGTTGGACGGGGTCTCGGCATGCCGTTTGGATCATCAGTCTTCCTCCCCCGGAAGAACCTTTTTCGGGCAACGCCTGGGTGTTTCACAGCTTGTGCCGAACAGCCGTGCGAGACATCACACGGAGGTGGAGTCCATGTCTTGATTTGATCAACGTTCTTTTAGTCCCCATAGGGTCTATCTTTGGGTTCGAGTGGTTTGGGAGACTGCAAGGAGACTATTTTGTTGATGTTGTTGTTTCAAACACTTCATGTACTTGAAGCTGAACTGCATTCACCTCTGAAATCACCCACCTCAGGCCTCACGTGACCTACATCGAGACTTTGTTTGCTCATTCACGACTCACACACCGACGGACCGGGTTCAGGACCCGCCAGGACCCGCGTTCGCCTCATTCCGCGCTTGCGCCACACGTGGAACCCGCGGGATTTTGGCAGATTCGTAGGACCCATAGATGTATAGATCCACAGAAGCATTGGACCAAATCGGTTTGGGTCGGCTAGACGACCCTTCTTTTGTAAAAATTGAAATGAAAAGAGGTTCAGAGTGTAGGACCTCTCCCCTGAGCATCTCCAAGAGGTCCTCCATACGAAGAGACTTTGTCCATAACTCCTCTGGATTCACAGGATGTTTCTCTAGTGATGCTTCTTTTGGTTTCTGTCATTGGACTGGAAACGGAAGCGGAACATATCTACAGGATATGGTGTTCACCCCCCAAACTAGGTGTTTTTTTCTTGTAGATGTTCCCCTTAAAGCGGACCTCCGGGAGCTCTGCCCCCCTCACCAGACCCGCCATCCGCAGCTTGGGAGCGGGAGCTGCGGGCGACCACACGCTCAAGATCTCGAGGCGCGCGCGGGAGCTGCTGCCGCAGAGGCCCTCACTATAGATACCATAGGATCCATTCCCTCATTCCTTGCTCAGCACCGGTCAGAGGGTTGGTAAATCTTCAAGTCGCTGTGAAATGTTTGGGTATGACACTTCCTGTTGGCCAGAGACCTTGGACTCCCTGTGCAGAAAACCAGCCGCATTGATTTTGGTGAGGCTCCTCCCTTGAGGACACGCTACAGACATGAAACAAAAACAGTGTCCACTCACCAGCATAAAAATGCTCTACACCCAAACATCTCCTGAAAGACGTCCGGGCGACTTGAAGCAATCAAGTCCGATCTGTTCTCTCCCCAAAGAGAGGGTACCAGTACCACGGTCCGTTTGGTCTTCATTTGGCCTTGGGTAGGTCTCGCCGCACTGCGGGCCCGCCCGAACGTCCCGCAGCGGCGAGTGAAGAGTCCTCTTTTGATCCCCAGATGTCCCAGGACGGGGGGACCGGTGGGTCTTTTGCGTCATATGAGTAATTACTGATCTACCATCTACCAATATCAACGTTTGTGTTTTTAACATAGGGTCTTGTCCCATCATCTGAGGTGCTTGAAGTCGTTTGAAGTCACAAAAGTCCGAGTCTCGCAGGATTCAGAGGCCTGAAATGCAACAGCCCAAGCCCCATAGTTTACACTCCGACTGACTGACATGGAAGGTGGTAAACTATACTACTGAGGAAGATACATAGTCTTTTGATGTCTTTTCTAGGGCCACTGTCCGCTTCCATGTGACGTGTTCGTCAGAGGGTGCATCTCCACAGTCATAGAGTTCAGTTTCCAGCTTGACCTGTGAAGTGACCTTTGAGGAGCGTCTGTAACTAACTACCCTGTTGGGGCCGACTTGGGGCTTTATTTCCAGGGTAACTTGTGAGAACACTGATTCGATAGCTTTTGTTGTGGTTGTTGCTGGTGCTGTTTTGCTGGTACTTACCGTTACTATTGCTGTTCCTGTATGTACTCTTACATACCACACACACACACGCCCTACATGTAACCACAACGATCCACAGGTCGCTGAGGGCCAGCGACGGAACCCGCATGGGTTGCGGTACGGAATGACGGAATTCATGCAGGGCGCTGGGCGGTCTGGGCGATTCAGATCGTCAGCGGATCCAGGGTGCAAGTCGAAACCCACCAAGAAAGGGCGCCAGAGTTCTGATTCGGAGCTGATTCGTGAAAGAGCGCCAGACAGATTGTTTGTTTGTCAGCCCAGTTTGTGTTTTCCTGGTGGATGTTGATATGTTTGGCCCAGTTGGTCTTGTTATGTCTTGTTCATGGTGCATCACCCAGCATTGAAAGACTTCTCACCCCCTAAAACGAGTCCGATCCGCTGTCAGTTATTTCTCGGGCCGATGCCACCACGATGTCACAACAACATCATTTGGATTTCTCCTTGAGAAGCTTTTGAGATCTTTTAAGAGGTCTCAGTAGAGAAAATTCATGAAACATCTAAACATAAAGCAAACATGACTTGAAGCGAAGACCAGACAGAGCTTCTTCTACTTCCATATGAGTCAAACCGTGAACGAAATCGAGTGTCCCTTCAGATCCATACGTAGTGTGAGCCAAAAGCGACACTCGTTTAGGGCTTTTGATTCGCTTTGGGAGTTTGGAGTTTCAGAGTGAGCGAGCCAAGGGAGTGGACCATGGATCCCGCTCTCCCCAGACGCCTGCGACGCCTCACGACCACGCTTCGCACGGCTCTCGACGTGGCCGTGACGCGACCAGTTGGGGCGAACAGGACAACCACCAAGGCGGCACTGGGGTTCCAAGACCGTGTCAACATAGAACAGAATGATCTACTTCATGGATGTTCACTCACCTACTGTTTTGCACGGTACTGGTCCGGTTTTGGCTTCATGACATGTTTACATTCATGTCACCAATAACTAGAAAGCAAACGTCTTTGAGGGGTCGGACTTGTGGCCAGCGGAGATAAACGACCTACCACCGATGTTGAGGATTCAAACGACATGAACACATACTGCTGTCGGACTCCCGATTGGAACAGTAACAGCTCCACGCGATAGCGATCAATTGGACGTCGGCGATAGCGGTTGCACGGAGACCACAGGCTCTACATCTTTGGATACCTGAGACCTGTTTGTTGTGGACTGAGACGTTTGATGTGCGGCCGCCAGGTTGTCCAGTCGTTAGTTCGTGTTTGCCAAGTTTCGATGGAGGGAAGACAAAGGAAGCAAAGGTGATCTTCTGTGAGATTGACTTGTGTTTCTTGGGAACATGAAAGGATGAGAGGAATCTCCAATGTCCCATGGGAGTCCTTTTTCCGGGATACCTGCTTAGAGACTACAAGATTTGCATGTATATACGGCCCAGTGGTACGGGTTGTAAGGGCCCATTCCTTTTCCTCTTGATGACCTAACAGCACCCTCTTGATGACCTCTAATCCACTACAGCACTTTCCAACAAATCTCCTTTGGAAGTGCTCATGGTGTATTTTTTGTTTGGAGGGCATTGGTGTATTTTGTGTGGAAGACTCAAACGGCCGGGAAGCATACAAGGGGTATAAGTTGTGTTGTCAGAAAACATAATCACGACGATGGCGAGTCCCCACCAGTCAGTAACATTCAGTAACCAACCCCCTATTGACGGGATTGTTTGAATGCATGTTTCTAGTTTCATGTTCTTTTCTTGGAGCTTGCGAAGACACGAGCATGCCAAACTATTAGTTGTTCCTGCAACACCTATCATGTACAGTACTTGTTTGGTATCCGGTGGCTTTTACGATGCCTCTGGTGGGATTGAAAGGTCCGTCCCTACCTGCCATGGATGTGTTTTCATCCTACCCAGATCGCTTATGGAGCCCGCAATTTGGCAGTATGCTTGATACTGCTAGTCTGCGAGGGTCAAATCTTCTTGCGAACTGAGAATTCTTTCTGAGCCTTTGGGTCGTCAGCCTTCCCTCCAAATGGCACCAACTCAGCACACTGGCGAAAGGATGCGAAAGGAACCCCTCACGGCCCCTCACCAGCTCAGAACCAAGCACCAGGAACGACTCAGCGCAGCTCTTCCTTTAGAAATCATGTGGGTACCGGAGATGTATATAGCAGCCTTTAGCAGCCAATGTGAACCCTTAGCTGCTATGTAGAAGAAGAACAACATATGTTCTCCAAAGAAGAGTCATGACTTGGAACACAAAAAGCTCACGGCGCATCCCTGCACCGCTCAGCCTCCTTCGCCGCCGCCTTCGCTTCACGCGCGGCGCATCCCTGCACCGCCAAGACATCGATCCAGTCTTTCGCCGAACCACGCGAGGGTCGGACCAAAAGGGTCGGCGCAGGGTCGGCGGCTCGCTCCGTGGGTCACTCGGGATCCAACGAGTCTTCGATCTCAGACAATGCATGGAAGATCGTTCTGTCGTACTTATACATATCGGAGTCATATCAGGGTAACTAGGGAACATGTAATGTATATTATACTGTAACTATATATACTACATATTCCATACATGGATGGTCTTGGAGATGGTCGCTTCTGGGTTTGGATATTTGTTCGTGGCACGGAGATCCTGAAAAGATCCCATGTGTGCTGCGAGGATGAGGTGGAAGTGCTTACAAGCCTGTTGATGAAGAGGGTGCTTGGTTTCTTGTCATTATTTTATATACCAGAGGTTAGTTTTGACACTCTCAGAGCCAAAGGTCACGAGAGTCAGAGACCTCCTCTCGGCAGCCGGGAAAACCCACAGCGGCAGGCGGAAAGTAGGCTTTGTGGTCCATGTGCAGTGTACATTTAATGCTCGTGATGACAGGCGCCTGGTTCTCCCAAGTTTATAGCGCCTGGTCAAGTCGTGCAGCTTGCGCCGCAGAGGATTTGTTGGAGATGTATTCATCCACATGTGCCACATGTGCATGCACTTGCACGTGCGAACGAATGATCTTAAACGCACTTTATATATGTTTATATATATATCCTTATTATACTCTCCCTATCGATCCAAGTACCTTCTCTCAAGGTGTTTGGGGTGGGTTTGAAGCTTGGAGGGTCCAGGTGCCTTCTGAGAAGGTACTTGGATCCCTAGGGTCTCTAATTGCTTTCACCCATGATCTTGGAAAAAGGACAAGAACGTCTTCACCCAGGAGCACTTGACACCCTAAACGTTATATAATCTGTATGCAACGGCAGCATTTTGGTTCCCCTTTTTATTTCGAGACGTTTTGACATGTTTGGGGCCAAGGGCTTCTTGACATTGGTGGCTGGTGCATATGCTTCATGTCAGCATGGCTGCAGCTACAGTCCGAGCCAGACCTTCCACAAGATCTGAAAGCGCTGCGAGATTGCAGCCCTGACGACCTGGGCTGTATGGCACAGCAGCAGGCCTGCTCTTTGGCCACAAAGATGGCGTCAGATTGGCCGAGTTTCCCAGAGATTCTGGAGATCTACCACCAGTTGCAAGACGTTTGTCTTGGACGCCCCTTGAGCTTCAAGACTCCAGAGGATGTTCCTGGCGCCTCGGGACAGACAGATTCTGAGATGTCCTTACTGTCCTTCGGAGGCTGGATACCGGACGCTTCAAAAACTCTTTTGTTATTTTGGCGACGAAACATGTTGGTTGAAAACAACCTGAAAACAGGTTACCACAGATTCTGGCTAATTCGCTACCATGTCCTTCTAAATGCCCAGGGGTACTGCACTGTGATGTTATTTGGCATTACCTTCCAACCCTTTTTTGGCACTGCCAAGAGGTAGCACTGTCTTCCCTCTCCTCGCCACACTGCCACACCACCAGAAGGGTGCTTACTAGGAGAGTCGACCGGTTTTGACTCTTTGATGGATGCCAGTAAGCAAGTTTTCAGGCGAGTGTAGCGATGCGAGGCTTTGCACCACCAATGTCATAGAGTATGAGAAGGAGAACGAATTGGCGAAGTATGGAATGAAAACAGGCAAGTTTGCAGCAAAAGCTGCATTAGACGTCCTCAAGGAGACTCTCAAGAGTGCCAAGGCTATTGCTCTCAGGGGCAGTGTTGCTTTTGCGTTCGTGGGCGCTTTCATCAGTGCATTCTTTCCCAGCGCAGGTGGGCTTCCAGCAAATCCCTGCACCTTTGCTGAAGATTGGGGCCGCTGCGTTTGGGAACAGGTGAAACCCTTTGTTCAAGAATTCGTGAGCGACAAATTGGATGAAGCTTTCGCGGACATCTGGAGAGCGACCTTTGAGGGATATCAGACCCGATTGTGGGCGTTGAATGCAACAGCCAACAAGAACTCGAAAAAGTTCCCCAATGGTACCATCAAAGAAATGTCAAACAAGACCAGAGATCGAATGCACGATGAGCTCAAAGCAGTGCATGATGCGATGCTGGGGAGCATTAAGCTCTTTCTGGCGGACCGTGCGATCAAAACCACAGCTGGAGCCTACTTGTCCCAGTTTGCGTCGTTGCATGTGAGCATCATGACCAACCTCTTGGGCTCTTGGAAGTACCGCACAGAAGGTGATCGCTATGTCTTCCAGACGGTGTCCGCATGCTATGCTCGGCGGGTCTACGAACGTGCGACAGCTGCCCTGAAGTCCCGAACGTCTGCTCTAGAGGTGCACGAAGAGGACAACGGCAAGCAGAGATGCTGTGACCGTGTAGTTTTTCCTTATTGCATAGTGTGCCCCGATCAGTCAGGAGTCTTTAGAGATACATGGAAGCTCTGCGACTGGAAGAAATGGTATCACACCTACTGCGTTGCCTATGTGGATCTTTGCGGGATGATGCCTGACATGTCTGCCAAATCGAGCTCTTGGGCATGTTACAAAGCTCATCGCCAGGAGGTTGAGAAGCAAACGGTCCTGTTTTGGCAGAACTGGCTTGCCCCCATTCCTGTTTGGTTGAACAATATTGTGTTGATGCAAGCGCTCGAAGTGAAGAATGGAACTCAAAAAGCAACCCACAGCACTTTTGACTGCTCGGCTCTGTAGGCTGACTATGACTTTAGAGTCTTTAGTTCTATAGATATTCCCTGCTCGTGCTTTGAGAAGATGACTTTCGAACAG